CATGTTTGGAGCGTCTGTCCACCGCGCCCGTGGAGGACTGAAGGTCCGCACTGGGGGTGCCCTATTGCTCGCCTAACACGCTCCACGTTGCCAGATGCGGTGAGGAACCCGTGTGTGGGTTCTACATAACCGCCGAGCGCATAAGGTGACAGAAAGTACCACAGGCGGTTCCCACAAAGACCCAGCCTGTCCTGCGAAAGATTGGGAGCAGCTAGCCCACGCCTAGTCCTTAGTCCCCACGGGGCGGGGAGACCCGAGAACAGCGAACGCGGTGACGACCCAGCGTGGCGTTGCTCCGCGCGTCCGGCCCGCCTTTATTCCGGGGAAGGACGGCGGGGATTCATGGACGGCCGGCAAGAACTCGGCGCCGTCCGCCAATGAAACACACGGCCACTCCCAGGCTAGACGAGAAAACTGGAAAATGTGGATCCAGGATACCGCGCGTGGCACAGTTTTCTGGCCGCGAAGCGTAGCAAACTTTCGAACCGCTTTCCAGCTCCTAGACACACGTAGCGTTCTCGCCACGTACTCAGCCGCGTTGGTCAAGCCGCGGAGCTTGGAGCCGGAGGACCGCGGAGGGGAGACGAACAACCCTAACGGTGGCCCAGGAGCATGGGCGGATAGCCAAAAGCGCTTCGGCGCGGAAGACTTTCTCCCTACTCGCTCCGAGGCCCGCGGATGGGGGTCTCAGGGAGATGCTGGTCGACCCGAGTGATCGGCAACAAACCCCCCACACCCACAATGCTAGGCTACTTTACAAATAACTGCAGATCCAATCTTCAGCAGGAGCAGGCATGCCCAGATCTCCGCAGTACCGGGGTTATCACTGCCAGTGCTGCCGGCCTCTGGAGCTCTTTGCCGCATTCTCCGACTGAATCGCAGCCCTTATGAAGGCCGCCGAAGAACAGGAACACTCTGAAAGCGGCCGCCAGGGGCGCCTGACAACCGGTTCGAGCGCCCGCGGGACGAGTTGCCGTCTCCGGCAGGCCGCCCGAACGCCCGAACTCGCCCGGAGCCTCTGCTTCGGAGGGGGCTCCCCGCTCGGGACAGCGCGACACGGAGCGCCCCAGGCGACAGACAAAGGCGGACGGAGAGCGGGAGGCCGCAGCGGAGAGGCCCTCCCAGCGAGATTGCAGGGCCTAGGCCAACCTGGGCAAGGGAGATTCTGCCCGTGGCTGGGCTGTGTGAGCTGTAAGCTCATTAAAAGTAAAACAGAAAAAATAGAAACCACGAAAGACATTTTATTCTGTAACTTCAGAGTTGAGATGTTACAAAAGTATGAAAAGACAAGGCTCAGAAGCCATAAAGGAAACGACTGAAAATTTGACTACTTAATTGGTCTTTTAGTACAGTGGGCGCTGCAGGCCAGCCCTCGGGGGCACTGCGGAGTGGGCAGCGAGCTCGCCTGCCCGCCTTGGACTAGGCCACCACCTCAGATGGAGCAGCGTTGCACTCAGGTGCTGACGTCACCCATTCACCGTGACGTCCTCCTTGGTCAGAGCCTGCTCACTGCCACCTGCCTTTCCCTTTTCATCTCTTCAGAATGTGCAGACATGGCGATCAGACACGACCTCCCAAGAGTGTTCACAGGAAACGGTGCCGCGCACGGGCAGAACTGCCTGGGTGAGCATCCGCCATCAGACCCACCGACTGAGCTCCCTTTGTGCCGGGAATGGGTCGTCTCCAGAATGCAGAGGAGAGTCTGTGTCACACAGACCGATGGTAGGAAGTTCACAGGAGTCTTGGCTCCTGGAAGCTGCCTGGGTCTGCTTAGTGGAGGCTCCAGGAGCGAAGCGGGCGACCACAGGAGCAAACTGCTGCACAGCTCGCTGGCGAGGGTTCCTGGAGGACGCAACGGTGACAGAAGCTGGGTTTTCCGTGGCAACAATGGCATGAGCTGTCGACAGAAGTTTCTCCCAGGTTCTCTTCAGATTCCTAATGTAGACGCCCTCACTTTTCCTTCTGTAGATGTACTGCTCCACTGGGAAGTAAAGGTTGGTGCCACCTAAGTGGGCTCCTGCTGCCAGGAACGTGATGATGTCCCCCTTCATTTGCCGGACATCAAGGACCCAGAATAGTGTAAAAGATTCACTTCAAGTTATGACAAGAATCCAGACAGTGCCAAATGGACCACTGTCTGGGTAGTGTGGAAAAAGCCTGAGAAGATGTTTTAGAGAAGCCAGATAATCTTTCTGATAAAACAAACTTGATTTTCGTTCAGTTGGTAGAAATAACACTATGAGCTTTACTCTTTAGAGGTTTAACATTTTTTATAATGTTTTGACATTTATGAGAAATTTATAATACATGTACAAGGTTCAAGAACCTAAAAATATAAAATATTTTATATTACATTGTTCCTCCTACCCCCTCCCTTCTTGTGAAAGCTCTGCTGCTTTCACAGTCAGTCATGGTGTTTTGTTTCCCAGGAATCTTTCCAGAGTTTTGAATTTTTAAAAAATTATTTGGCTGTGCCAGGTCTTAGTTGTGGCCTGCGGGACCTTTGCCATGGGAACTCTTAGCTGTGGCATGTGGGGCCTAATTTGAACTCAAGCCCCTACAATGAGCTTGCAGAGTCTTAGCCACTGGACCAGGAGAGATGTCCCAGAATGTCATTTATGCAGACACAAGCAACTATGAATATCTGTTTCTTCTTCATTCTACATGGTGGTGCTAGTGGTAAAGAACCCACTTGCCAGTGCAGGAGACAGAAGAGACTTGGGTTCAATCCCTGGGTCTGGAAGATTCTCTGGTGAAGGAAATGGCAATCCACTCTAGTATTCTTGCCTGGAGAATCCCCATGGGGCAGAGGAGCCTGGTGGCCTACAGTCCACAGAGTCACAAAGTGTCAGACATGACTGAATGACTTAGCACACAACCACATTTAAAACCATAAATGATAGTATACTGTGCACAATGTTTTATTATATCTTGTTTATATTCAGCTGAAAATATCTTGGGGAAAACTCTCTCTTGGGACACTATTTTCTGCAAATCAGTCCACTGAATGGATGAGGTACTATAACATACTTTACTGGTCCACATTGGAATAAACACTAATATTCAATCACATCTTGACACCACAAAAAACAATGTAATGCATAACCTTAGCCTATGTTATTCTACTGCAGGAAAATGTATAAATTTCTAATGCATTGAATAATGTCCAACACTCATGTGGGACTCAGAATCCTCACCAGCTAGAGTGAAGAAACCTCCATAAATATGTGGAACATTCAACCAAGGCACAAAAAATGCATGTATTAGAGCTGAAACTAAAAAAAAAAAAAGAAAGACGAAGAGAGAGAAAGAGATATGAAACTGATCACAGCCTTAAAATAAAGGGCACATAGACTTGTACTAACAAACCTTAGCAATAATCCTGAAAAGTGTTTGTTATGCAAGTAACCATTACCTACCAGGAAAAAAATAAATGAACACTTTCAGAAAACATATAAATAAAACATAACAAAAGCATTTCTATCACCCAGGAAACTTTAAGACATTTAGGGGTCCTGTGTCAGACAGCAGGTCTGATGTATATTTCATATTATCTCATACCCACCCATAAAAAATGAATGTAAACCCCTTTATATACACTTCAAATATTTTAGAATATTCAAGAGATTGACTACTTTTTGGAAAAATATGAATTGTCAAGACCATTACTTAAAGCATCTAAAGCAAAAGAAAAATAAGCAAGGAAGGCTATCAAATAAAAATTTTCGAGAATTACTTCTGAAAATCATGTAAAAGCTATGCAAGCAAAGAACAACTGGCTACAAAAGTACCACATAGTTTTAGAGAATCAAGAATAGAGGAACAGAAGACATCTGTATTTTGTGAATATAATTTAACCCTGCTGTCAGAACTTGATGTACGTGACATAAAACAAAAGCACACACCAATTTTACCTACTGTTCTTGGCCTCAAAATCCTAATCTATTAAATACTAATAAAAGATATATGAATTCTCCATCTCTAAAAAACTTAGGTTTACTCACAATTTTTGTTCTTTGAAAGTAAGTCAAGTTGTATATTCTAAGAAGTGCTTGCTCCAGAGGGTGTGGAATATATGTACAATGGAAAACAACTCAGCCATAAAAGTGAATGAAATAATGCCATTTGCAGCAACATGGATGAACATGGTGATTTCATATTAAGTGAAGTAAGTCAGATAGAGAAAGACAAACATCATATGATATCACATATGTGGAATATTGAAAAATGATACAGATGAACTTATTTACAAGACAGAAGTAGAGTCACAGACATAGAAAACAAGCTTATGGTTACCAAAGAGTATCACGGGGGATGTGGGGAGAGGTAAATTAGGAGTTTGGGATCAATATGCACACAGTACTGTATATAAACTAGGTGGACAACAAAGACCTACTGTATAATGCAGGGAACTATACTCAATATCTTGCAATGATCTATAATGGGAAAGAATCTGAAAGAATATATAGTCTCTCAAAGAGTCATGTCCAACTCTGGGACCCCAGGGTCTATAGCCTGCCAGGCTTCTCTCAAAGGAGGGGTCACAAAGAGCTGGACACAGCAGAGGGACTAACATTACATCCCTACTACTACGCTCGTTCTTAGCCAACTTGGGGAAAGACATGAATGCCTTATCAGTGCTGCAATAAGTTTTGCTCTAAGATGCCTGCCACATAGGGAACAATTTGAACATATTTTGAATTTCATTTGTGCTTGCAAGTAACTTTGTGAGGACAATCAGCTGGTGGATGAAAGCACAGCTGACCCAGAGGAACCTAACCAGGCAGGAAAACACAAAACACACTTAACACGCAATCAAATAGTAAACTGACCGAGGACATTGCAGCAAGTCATACTCCTTCGTTCTCCACTTGTCCACACGTAATTGTCTACAGTCTGCTGCGATTCTTGGCTACTTTAAAATAGAGTGTATTAATAGGAAATTTGAGATATAATAAGGCAAACAGATCAGGAGACAACTGTCATTGAAAAGAGAGTTAATGGCTTACAGCTCCCAAGAGGAGGGACAGGCCATGCCATTGGGCCACACGGGAATGGACCCAACTTGTCCAGAGAGGGAGGGAGGGGAATTCCGTACAGGGGCCTTTACTGTGACTCCTCAGGAGGCAACAGTGAGCTGGGTGCGCAGGTCAGGACTGACTAGTGTGTGTGGTGCTAGCGGCCATCCTATATACCAGGCTCTGGTGACAAGGGAAGGGGGTCCATGCTCCAGAGCGCAGCTTAAATGTTACCTCATCAGAGAAAAGCCTATAGTGCTGGAAGGCAAGCATAATGTCCAGGATGGGAGAGCAAACAAATATACATGTCACACACCAAGAAGGAAATCCGCCTCCAGGAGGGACGTCTGTTTATACATTACGTTATAGTGCGTTTTGAGGCCCTGAATTGGAAAGATGACTCTAGAAGTCAACTAGTGTAATTAAAATAGAAAAAGAGAATGAAAACAAGCAAAAAAATAAAATGAACAGAAAAAACTTAAAAAATGAATGAAAACGCAAAAAAAAAAAAAAAAGGCGTAGAAGCAGAAGAAAGAAAGAAAAAGACAACTAAGTTTGAAAAGGAGCTGAAGAAATGAATCCAAAGTTGCAGCGAGCCTATGGCTTTCTGAAGGAGCTCGCTTTGGACCATGACCAACGGCCCTGAAGGGAGAAAAGCATACGTGCCACACTCGCGGCATCTTTCGGTGCTAGGACCCTGAACGCTAGAAGAGTGGCTAGTGAGAAAGCATAGAAATTGGAGTGGACCTCAGTCGAGGGCAAAGTTGAGGCAAGGGTTTGTTGTTGTCTGGGGAGGGGTTGTCCTCAGGCAGGGGTCTGTGGTGGGGACACCCCTCAAGGGGAGAGGGTAGGTGGGCAGACATATGTTTCCACATGTGTGTTACGATCTGAAGGGTGAGCCCACGGAATTCCTCCCCAGCCTGCATGGGTGTGCTGAACTTGGAAGCCCTGCAGTGACGCTCTAGCAGGCAAGTCTGGAAGGCCAAAGGCCCCCCGAATCATTTGCATCCTGAGCCCTTTGGTCCAGGGCCAGATCGGCAGTGCGTGCGGGGCTTCGTCATGGGGAATTCCCCGAGAGAAGTGTCGGTGGTGGGATGTCGGGAGTGGGAGTGAGCCCGCCCTTGGACGCCTCAGCCAATGAGGAGCTTGCACGTGCGGGGGTGGGGCTGTGGGAAAGTCATCAAAGGACCGAGGGGGCGGGGCCCAGGCCCTTTCTCGGAGAAGCACCGTCTGAGGGAAGGAGGCATCGTCGTGCAGCTGCAGGTAGGAGAGGGAAACACACGTGGGCCTTGTTTGCAGAGACCCGGGGGCTGCTTCTGCGCACAGGGGCGGTGCGTGTCCGTCTCCCTTCAACGTCTTACCCGGAAGGCAAGGTTGTCGGCCCAGCGCCGCTGGTGTGGATGCCCTTCGGGGACCCTCTGTCCCTGAGGGGCCATCACCGGTGGTTGCGCGGCCCCAGCGGGGTGACTTGGCTCCTGGGTCAGCAGGGCTGGCGCCTGGCCACCAAGTCACCCTGAGTTGGAGGGGGCCGTGAGGGGTCGGGGCTGGGCTTCAGAATCTGGGGAACACCTGCTACGTGAATGCAGCCCTGCAGTGTCTGATCCACACGCTGCCCCAGGACAGCTGGATGGTGTCCCAGCAGCACGCCACCCTGTGTCCAGCCCGAACCTCCGGCACGCTCTGTGCTGGGTGAGCTCACGTGACCCGAGCCCTCCCTCACCCGGGAGAGGTGATCCGGCCCCGCAAGGACCTGCTGCCGGGCTTCCACAGACACCAGCAGGAAGATGCCCATAAGTTTCTGATGTTCACTCTGAATGCCATGCAGCAAGGGTGCTTGAGTGCATCCACCGAGGACACCACCCTCATCCATCAGATCTTTGGTGGGACTTGGAGGTCTCAGATCCAGTGTCTCCACTGCCTCAGTGTCTCGGACACGTTCGACCCTTATCTGGACATCAGCCTGGATATCACGGCGGCTCGAGTGTGGATCAAGCTCTGAGAGAGCTGGTGAAGCCCGAGAAGCTAGACGCTGAAAATGCCTATGACTGTGGCGTGTGTCTCCGGAAAGTGCCTGCCACCAAGAGGTTGACTTTGCATAGGACGTCCCAGGTCCTGGTGCTGGTGCTGAAGCGGTTCACACATGTGAGCGGGATCAAAAGGGCTCAGGAAGTGCGCTATCCCCAGTGCCTCGACCTGCAGCCATTCACGTCTGAGCGGAAGGCAGGGCCACTGGGCTACGTGCTCTATGCCGTGCTGGTGCACTCCGGGTGGAGTTGTGAGCGAGGACACTACTTTTCTTACGTGTGAGCGGGCAGCGGCCAGTGGTATAAGATGGACGATGCCAAGGTGACCGCTTGTGACAAGAGTGCTGCCCTGAGCCAGAGCGCCTACATCCTCTTCTACTCCCGGGAGGGTGCGTGGCAAGGGGATGCTGGGAGAGGGTCTGCGGCCCCCCCTCAAGGCTGACCCCACACACCCCGGGAAACCTGACCCCGCCGGCCCCGGGGAGCCTGCGGGAGACGCCAGTGGCAGAGCTCCTGGGTCACAGGTGTCCCCGGCGGACACAGAGGTCGAAGGAATCAGCTTAGAGCTGTGGAGACGCCTAAAAGAGCACAACTGGCCGAAGCCGTCCTCCAACCTCCGGAAGATCCAGTCGGCCCTGCCTGCCGGCGCAGTCGTGATTCACCAGTCCAAACACGGAGCAGGGAGAAACGGCAAGCTGCCTGAAGAGCACGACCGGCTCGACCGTCCCAGCACGGACAGCCCGCCTCCGGGCCCGATGAGCGTTGGCAATGGCCCTTGTGCTAGCGGGAGGGCCCGAGCGACCAAGAGGAAGAACAAGAAGCCGCGGCCATCTCTGGGGCTGTGGTGGTATTTAGGCTATGAGGCACATGCCTGCAGAAGCCCAGGCACACTCTGCGTGCGGCACGGCCTGTGTGACCCACCAAGTGTTCCTGCGAGGCGCGAGTTCCTCTCGGCGGTGTGGCTGGTGCAGCCTCCTGGAAAAAGGCGGGGCCTGCAGTGTGCCCGGTGCCACGCTGTTCACCTGGATGGTGCTGAGAGGCCGAGCTCTAGAGGGCTGGCTCTGATGGGAAGTTATTGGAGAGGAAGGGCTGCGTGACCGGGTCTGAGCACGGTCCGAGGGCCTCGCACTTCTGCGGGGGTGGGAGAGTCCTCTTTGGATGGTGCTTTATTTGTGGGTTTGCCTTTCTTTCCCCCTCCGCATTCTCTGGCCGCACGGCTGGCCTCTGGTGAGTGACGCGGCAGGGAGATGCCTCCTAGTACGCCCACAGCCAGCCGAGCAAGGAGACGATCTCCTGAGCCCTCCGTGGGGCAGGGAGGAGCGGGTGCAGGTCCGTGAATCGTCTCCTCCTGGCCAGTCAGCCTCTCGAAAACGCCCCAAACGTTGAGCAGGGTCCATGGAGTAGATGGATGACAAGGCTCTATGGGTAGAATGTCCTTGGGAGGGGTAGTGCTACTTGGGAAAGGGACATGCGGCAAGAATGACGCGGGGATCTGTTCGCCACCGGCGGATCGCTCATCCGCAGAGCTGCCTGGGGCTCCATTTCTGGTGCAAGGAGTATGCTGGAGAATCTCCAAGTGCCAAATGGGAGAAGCGATTCACCGTGCCATGAGCACCACCACCAGCACCACCGGCACCAACACGAAGGCCAAGGGGAGAAAGGCAACCCAACGAGTCCCAAAGAAACTTCTCCACCAGTATGGCACAGGTGCCTATGTGGAGATGGATCATGCAACCGTTCCTTTCTGAAAGCAAAGGTCCTCCCTGCACTGAGGAAAGACCCAAGCCTGCCCTAGATTGTGAGAGCAAGACAACTGGATATCCGACTCTGCCCATCCTATCTGTCAGTCAGCTGTCTCATCCAGCTTGGCCCCGGACAAAGGCCGCTGGACGGGATGAGTCACAGCCGGCCTCTGAAGTGTCTGGGGTGGTGGGGAAACTGTCCTTTCCTAGCTGTTTTCCCGACTGCCTCGTGATCCTGCGACCAGGGGAGGAGGGCGCCCGAGGACCCTTATCGATCCCCTCTTTCGATTTATTTCTTGCTCTTGGTTTCCGGCTTCAAACCCAAAACCCTCCATCAAACGGTGGACCTGGAATTTGCAATTTAGCATCTGAGACCAGAGGGACAACTGTGGCTCCTGACCCCGCTAGTCGGCTTGGTAAGGAACAGAGAACATTCTGCATGCATTCCCCCCCCCCCCCCGACATGGTTACCTACAACGCACCGTGCCCTCCACACGTAGAGAAGAAAAAGAATGATGAGCAGTATCTTCCCCCAAGAACACGAACAAGCATGCCCTGGATGAGGAGGTTGAGCCACCCACAGGCCACCCTCATTATCACCACCAATCTTCCTCCGCCCCATCGCCTCAAAAGGACTTACTGCTTGCCCCAACCATACCGTCTGTAGAAGAAGAAGAAGAAGGAGAAGGAGAAGGAGAAGAAGAAGAAGGTGAAGAAAGAGAAGAATGGTGATTGGAGTGGCATGGCAGATGTAATGGGAAGAGCGTCTGATGTAGGGGGAATATCATGCAAAAGGGAGACAAATACTGGCTGATCTGGCTTCTCTGCCATGGGACAGAGGCCAAAGGACAGGAAGGTTGTGAGCACGTGCATCACAAAGCACAAAGCGATAGGGTCCTGGGATGCGATGGGGCAGTGGGAGGTGGGAGGGGTGCAATAGGATAAGGAAGAAAGTGTCTTTTCCTAGTAAGGATCAACACAATCAACACTTCAGCTATGGGAATCCCGTGGGCTGTGGAATGCCCACAGTGCTGGAAGGCAAGCATAATGTCCAGGACGGGAGAGCAAACAAACATACATGTCACACACCAAGAAAGAAACCAACAGTCATCCTCCTCCATGAGGGAAATCTGTTTATACCTTAAAGTATAGTGCGTTTTGAGTCCCTGAATTGGAAAGATGACTCTAGAAGTCAACTAGTATAATTAAAATAGAAAAAGAGAATGAAAACAAGCAAATAAATAAATAAATTAATTAATTAATAAAATGAACAGAAAATACAAAATAAATTTAAAAATGAACGAAAATGACCAAAAAAAAAAAAAAGTAGTAGAAGAAGAAAGAAACAGACAACTAAGATTGAAAAGGAGCTGAAGAAATTAATCCAAAGTTGCAGCGAGCCTATGGCTTTCTGAAGGAGCTCGCTTTGGACCATGACCAACGGCCCTGAAGGGAGAAAAGCATATGTGCCACACTCATGGCATCTTTTGGTGCTAGGACCCTGAATGCTAGGAGAGTGACTAGTGAGAAACCTTAGAAATTGAAGTAGATCTCAGTCGCAGAGCTACATTGAGGCAAATGTTTATGTATGATGTAATCAAATCCCTTGTGGTTATACAGTGTAGAAAACAAGTAAATTCAACGCATTTTGGTCTGATAGAGTGTGTGAAGAACTATAGATGTATGTTCTTAAAATTTTACAGGAGACAGTGACCAAAACTCTCCCCCCAAAAAAGAATTGATTGTCAGAGGACATCCTACAAAGAACTGAGAAAAGACCAGAAGTGAAAGGCAAGGGAGATAAGCAAAGATATACCCATCTGAATACAGAGTTCCAAAGAATAGAAAGGAGAGATAAGAGAATCTTAACTGAACAATGTAAAGCAATAGAGGAAAGCAATAAAATGGGAAATAGTAGTGATCTCATTGAAAAAATTGGAGATATGCACAGTGTGATAGTTGCCAAGCTAAATTTTATTAGGGGCAAAATGAGGACTGCAGCCCAGGAGATAGTACCTCAGATACCTCTGAGAGACTGCTCCAAAGAGGCAGTGGGGGAAGGTCACTATATAAGTCTTTGGTGAAGGGGAGTTCAGTGCAATCAAGCACTTACTTTACAAAAGGTTTTCTGCTGGTCATGAGGAGTTGATGTCACCATGAAGGGATTTAGTGCTTTTCTAGATATGAAGAAATGTAAGAATTAGGATCAAGAAATCAGTTCCTGAAAATATCTGACTCTCTAAAAGACCTGTTCCACCAGTTTCCCTGGAGCACAGAGTGCTTTGTTCTCCACCCTGAATTTCCCTGAGTGGATGTTGAATGCCGTCCACTTCAGCAGCACAGTGTTCAATCTCCTCGGAAGCAGCTAGCTAATTCCCTGTTGTAGGTCTGCTGCTGCTGCTAAGTCGCTTCAGCCGTGTCTGACTCAGTGCGACCCCATAGACGGCAGCCGACCAGGCTCCTCTGTCCCTGTGATTCTTCAGACCAGAATACTGGAGTCGGTTGCCATTTCTTTCTCCAATGCACTCAGGCATGCTAAGTCGCTTCAGTCGTGTCCACCTCTGTGCAACCCCATGGACAGCAGCCCGTCAAGCTGCTCTGTCCAAGGCTTTCTCTAGGCAAGAATACTGGAGTGGGTTGCCACTTCCTTCTCCCCTGTTGTAGTTCACCCTCTGGCAGATGCTCTTCACAAGTGCCAATTTGTAGTTGACATAGATATCACATGGAAGTAGTAGAGAAANGTAACCGGGACCCGTCCAGGGGACCTTCCGGCCGTGATTCGGAGCCACCGGCCGTCGCCTTGAACTCGTCCCTTCCCGCCAGGCTTCCCTGGTGGCTCAGACGGTAAAGTGTCTGCACGCAATGCGGGAGACCCAGGTTCGTCTGGACACGAAATTCCCTGGAGAAGAAAATGATAAACCACTCTATTCTCGCTTGAAAATTCTCAGGGACAGAGGAGCCTGGTGGGCTACAGTCCATGAGGCTGCCAAGAGTTGGAGACAACTGAGCGACTTCACTTTCTTCCCGGGGGAGCTTCGGCTCCCTGCCCAAGGGCTGCGCCTCCGTCGCCTGCCCGGGGGGAGCGTTCCGGGAGCCGCTGGCGCTGGCCGCGCGAGTCCCGGGAGCGGCGAGGACCGGACGCCTCCTCCTGTCGCTGGAGATTGAGTTTGCAGCATTATGGGGAAGAGCGCGCGGGTATTTTTACGAGTCCGGTTATGGCGCCCGCCCTGGGTGGGTAACACTTCTTGGTGTTTCTTCTCGTAAAACGTTCTCCGCCCGTGATCACAGGTTTGTCTGCTGTGGTTTCTGCTGACAAAAAATGCCCTCAGAAAATGAAGGTGAACGTAGACAAATAGTTCCCGTGTCCTGCCCCGTGGGTCCCGTCCATCTAATCCCAGCGGTTCACCTCTTCCCTGGAAGAAACGACCCACCTTTAAGGCGAAAAGTACAAAAGCCTGTAGATCGACCCCAGAACTCTGTTCTTTCCATGGGAACACAGCACCGTGGGCCCACGGTTGCGTCGTTGGGGGCCCAGACTCGTCCCGATGATGCTGGGGAAGTTCAGCGTGGTCATTTCGGTTTTCCAATTCCGTGAGGAACGTTCTAAGGTTCCGCAGACAGGATGCCCTGATTGTCTTGTGACATCTTCGCGGGGAATGTCCTGTCCCTACCGTGGGCTGCCTGGGCCCAGCGCCTGTGTGTGCCAAAGAGACACGCAAGTCTCTTCACCGCAGGTGACATCGTGGGCTAACGCGGACGCTCACCGTTGTACTGGCGGTTCTGTCGGGACTTGGTAGGTCAGCTGCATGAATGTCTTAAAACGAGTACCTGCCTGCACCGTTTGGGGGTGAGCAGAAAGGGGGCTGAGCTTTGCCGCGATCCTGGGCACAGGGTCTGCGAGGGGCCTCTCCACAGAAGCTGGGCTTTCTGGAGATGTGGAGAAGCTTCCATACATGTGGGTGAATGTCACAATGTTTCCGAGTTTCATCCGTGTTACAGGTTGTGATTGGTTTCTGTCACCTAGTACTTGTCCTGCGACTCAATGAGATGCAAAGGAAGTTTACTGTCCTGATCATTTTATGCCAAACTAGTCCACGGCCTCATACCCTGTTTTTCCTGCAAACTCTCAACTCGCCCCACCACCACGGAACCGCCATCAAGCTCATTCCTGATGTATTTTCTCGAAAGCCCACACAATGTCCACCCTGACCAGGAAACCAATGGGTGCTTTATCATGGCGGCTAAAGAGCTCCTGTGCAAGGAGTTGAGGAATAGTGGCAAATGGTGGTGGAAGAAATGGCAACTTATTCCAGTATTCTTGCCTGGAGAATCCCAGGGACAGGAGCCTGGTGGCC